ATACGGTTGTTAATACCGGTTTGTGCGCGCGGCAGATGAACGCAAACCGGGGGCTGTTAAAGTACAATTGCCTGCACCGATTTCGCCTCGCTTCTACTGCTGCTGCAAGCTCACGGGGTGGCCCTCCAAAAGCTGAATATGGCAACTTACTCACTGTCCTCCTCACCGACTGCGTTTTTGAAGATACGGCGGTAGTCCTAGGAGTTTCGCTGGAGACGAGAATAAGTGGAGTCCAGGTAGACATTGCCGACAAAGACAAGGCAGACCGGAATGGCCACTTCGAGCTTATTAGCCGTCATCAGCCAGCCATACTCAGTCCGATTTAAACCGACAAGACAGCGAGCCCGTGGCTCAATGGTTAAAGCGTCACCATTTGGAGTTGGATATGACTGACTGATGTGGCTAAAAGGCCGGAATAGGCCGTCCAGGTCTCCCTTGTCTTTACTGGTAATGCTCTTCAGTGTATGTCACTAGCCGCTGTGCGCCTGGGCCCAAGAGTGAGTCCGAAAGCACGACGGGGGGAGTGCGTTCCGTAACCGATCAGTGATCAGTACATTCTCGATCCAAACCGGTGAGGCAACGAGCCCGTGGCGCAGCGGTTAGAGCGCTGCATTTCTAAATAACAGGGTTGCGGGTTCGAACCTCGGAGTCGCCACTCGCCGATGATGGCTAATGAGCCAGAAATACCCATTCCACTCTCCCTTGTCGTTGTCGCTGATGTTTTCCTGCCCAGGACTGGTGTCGACTAGTTCGGAAATGATCGCATCGGTACCAGGTATGTACAGGTATTTATTTGCACGCCGCATAAAGAAGCCGGCTTGAGAAGTTTTAGCACCCGAACATTGCGTTGGGTGCTTTATGGCCCTTAGGTCAGGATAGGAGGAGTATCTATAGGTTTGAATAGTCCAGCCAGCGAGTTACCCAGCCGCTCAAGTGTCGATGCGAAATTTCCATCGCCACAAAAATCCATCCGGTCAATCTTCGTCTATGGATGATCGAAGACTGAACGTTTTTGGCCACCGTTGCCTGAGGACCATCCTTCGAATTTAGTATACGGACTTCGTCTCAAATGAGACAGTCCGCACAGTATTACGATGAAATCTCGAACTATCCAAGAAAGAGCATTGGGGTCGTTTGGGCACATTCTTCGTCGTCCGCCTCACGAGCTTTGCTACGCTGCCCTCGATCCGGCGCCGCAGCCCACCTGGAGGCGTCGAAGGGGGGTGCAACTCAGGACTTGGCTCGAAACTGTTCGCCAGGACATGGAAGCGGTTCTTGTACTTTCGGGTTCTGCCACTGCAGAAGAGAATGAATGGTGCTTTCCAGATTCGCTGCCGCTAATCTTCACGCGTTTGGAGGTACCGTACGTAACATTGAAGCCGGCTGGGTCAGGCATGCTCGTAGCCGTATCAAGTACAAGTAAGTAGCGAAAAGCGAAGGTCAGGGCTGTCCGCGGCAGCAGATGAAAAAATATAAAAATGTTTTTTTTTAGGAAAAATTATGATACAAGACCGATGCACATGCACGCGGACAAGTTTGTCACGTCCGTATTTTCATGCCATTATTTTTCACAACCACAGTAACGTCGACGAACGCAGCAGCGACGGTTTTTTTTAGTCTTACTTGTCGGCTACCTGACGCACAACTTTCGAACCACATTGCTGTTGCTCCAGTACTGTCCCTCTGGTCTCAGTACCCCTTCCCCCTCAAATCTGCGATCTCACATTCTCGCTGAGTGTAGGGCTACCCTAACGCCACGCCGCGCTATCAGACGTGTCGTTTAGACCTCAACTGCTGCGTGCTGAGTGACCGTGAACCGTCCTTTGCCTAATAGCATACTCGGGAGGGGATGGGAAACTGAACCTCCAACCCAAAGTTGCATTTACTCAGTAACGGTGGCCTAGCCGGAAACAGACTTGACATCTTTAATGAGCTGTTCCTTCTTTTCCATCCCAACAACTCTCCATCCCGTCAAA